TTTATGAGAAATTAAACTTATTGCTTTTGTATTTTAAAAATTGAATAAGTGCATCAATGCATACCAATACATTTTTAAGATTTTAAAAGCTAAGAAATCTTTTTTATGGTCTTGGCTTATGACTTTGTACATTGTACACATTGTACAACAGGCCTTGTTATTAGATTTTGTTGCTTAACAGAAAAGCGTAACGCAAGTAAATGTTACTTTACTCAAAAAAGATAAATGGCTGATATTGTTAAAAGTTTAATCACATTAGTTGGGTGTTTCAAATTACTGCATTGTGATTTTAATTTGAAACCACGTTAAAAATCATCGTATGTCTTTATCTTTATAAAATAATTTCAAATTAAGCAATATTTTAATTAAAAAGTATATAAATAAAATGTAAAATATGTTGTTTGAAAGAAAAAAGAAGTTTCCTTATTTTAAAAATCGTATACTTATTTAAATTTTTATTTATTTATTTAAAGCATTTGTCTTATGATTATTTTTATTTAATGATGGTTTATTTTTATTTAATTGTTTATGGTTAATTTTTTAAAGAGATTCCCAAGAGTCAAGACAAGTTAAGATTTTTTTGTAAATAAACATTAGAAAATAAGTTTTAAGTTTATTAAAATTATCAAAACAATTTTTTTATTGAGAGATACAAAAAAAAAAAATTTCAGTTTTAAGATTTTATTTGCAAAACTTGTTTTTTTAACAAATATCATTATTTTAAAGTTTATTTGTGTTATATTTATAGCTCTTATATTAGTTTTATTTTTAAAATGAAATAAATATAAGCTTGGCTTTTAAAATGTTTTTTTATTGATTGTGTTATTTTTATTTGCTTATATAAGTTTGGTTTGTTTTATAAAATATTAAAGGCATTCTTTTACATAAAAATTGACTGCAAAGGGAAAACCCAAACATAACTTTTACAACTTGAGCTCAGGTTATTTGAAAAAACTATTTATATTGGCGTCAATTATTAACTACATAAGTGCATTAATCAAACCAGTGTTTAAAAAAGAAAAATTCAAAGAGCCGGAACTTAGCTTTGAAAAAAAAAAGATGTTAAAAAATTATATTGCTTTTTGCTAATATCTCAATAAATGATTTGTTCTGCGAATAATAGTTAATGTGAAATTTGTTTTTCAATTTTTTTTTAAGATATGAACACTACTTGTCTTGCACTTAAGGATTACTTTAACGGTCAAAAAATAAATTAAAACTATTAACATTTTTTTTAACATTTTGGCTTTAACAAAATCTTCATATGCTAATCATAAACTAGTTAATCATATCTAATAAACATTCATTCTATAATCAATTCAAAAAATTAAAGATTTAAAATTTTTTTTATTAAAAAGCATTTTAGAAACCAAAAAAATCATTTTTTCATAAATTTGTTATATAAAGTTTACTAAAAAAGTTCTCTGAAATAATTTTTAATAAATCTAATAATTATGCCTACAGGATTGTTCATGGTTTATCTGGCAATGCATATACTGTTATAAGTGCTTTAAGCAGTTTGGTATATTAGCAATTCTGTAACGGAATGAAAATTTGAAACTATAAATAAATAAACAAAATTGTTAAATGTGATACGAACATTTTAAAGTAACTTGAATTTAATTTATTTATGTATTTTAAAAATTTTGGCAGTTAAAAAAAAATTGTAAAACAGACTTAATTTAAATAATCAATAGTTTTTTAATAACTCATATAAAACACAACTTTGATGTCAAGTCTTTAATATTTAGTCCTAATTAATATTAAAAAAATTGTAATATTTAAGTTTTCAAAAGAATTAAAATTTAATACAATAGATTTATATTTATTAACGTTTAATAGAAAATTAATTAAAATATAAAAAAAAAAAATTTAAAATAAATCAAAAAAAAAAAAAAAAAGGAATATAGAAAAAAATTTATTTAACTATGTGTTTTTTTATATGATAAAAAAATATTTCACATATGTTTTTTACAGCAGTTACTGCTTAATGTTTTTCCCCTAAACTATTTTAAAAGACTATTTAAATAATAAAATAATTGAAAAAAGTTTTGGCATAACATAAATAGCTTAATGTGAAATCACTTTGTATGTAAAGTTTAAATGGTGTAATACTTCTAAACAAGGCTGGTACAATGTCAAAATATACGCACTATCTAAGACAAGATTTAAATAGCCTATGTCCCAGTGTATAGTACATATAATGACTGACACAAATAGGAATAGATGCAGTAGAGTAAACAAACATATATCTACTTAGTATATATATATACAAATCATTCCTGTAGCCATTTCATAGGTTAGAAACGTTATAAATGTTTTATACGTTTTAAACTTTGAAACAATTTAAACTTTGAAACACTTTAAACTTTAAAATGTTTAAAAGTAGAGTCAATACTTTTAAACATTTTAAAGATTGTGAAGTTTATTATTATATTTTTGTTGTAATTTGTCAAAACTATCAATAATGGTTGCAAATATTTAATAAATATTAAAATATATTTTTTTAATAACTATTCCAATACCTAATTATTAATATATATATATATATATATATATATATATATATATATATATATATATATATATATATATATATATATATATATATATATATATATATATATATATATATATATATATATATATATATATATATATATATATATATATATATATATATATATATATATATATATTACATTATGGTAAATAAAAATATAAAATTCAAAATTAAGATGTAGACTTGTTCAAAAAACTTTAATCAATATATGAAAACTTTCATATTATAAATTTTTTTTGTCAAAATTTATTTTTCACCTATGTCAAAAAAGTTATGCTATAAATATGTTATAATATTGAACTACTAATATATTTGATTGTTTTAGAAAAAAGAGTTTACTTAATTTAAATAATTTCGATGGTTTTTCAATAAATCTTGTAAAATGCACCTTTGATGTCAAATATTTGATCATAATTAATATTTATATTGCTCTTAAAATTGAAAACAAACCTAAAAATGTTTTTCATTACTTCTGCCAGCAGGAGGCAAGAATTCTGCTTCCAATTTAAGGTCACAGTCAGTTTGGCAAAAACCACTGAAGGTAGTCTCTAAATTATTTTGCCTCTAAAATTACTTCTGGAGGCAGCCACCAATGGCTTCCACCTTTCTATAGGTATTGGTCTCAGAGTGACCAAGTTATCATCAATGGCAAAGTAACATTCTGTTACTTTGCCATTTTTTTAATAAATATACAAATGCAGATTTTACCTACTTTTTAGTTGTTTCTGTTTGCTCATTATTTTCTTGATTCAATTTACAGGTTTAAATTTTTGTCTACCTTTGAAAGGCTATAAACTCTTTTTATCATCTTCAAATCAGGGTATAGTTCTTGCTGACTATATGATACCATTTAAAATCGATAAATGATAGCATTATTTATTACAAATAATGCAATCATTTATCTTGACTTGATGTATATATTTCTTATTGAAAATTTTACTGTGATTTTAAATACACATCCAGCCTTTTTGTAGAACTCCTTGAGGCAATGAACCAAATGCATGTGACATGTTCCACTTAACAGTAACATGTTTACATGTGCAAAAATGTTACTGTTAAGTATGTTACCTGTTACTGTGTGTAACTCACAAATCAGTAATTTTTTATTTTCTTTTGTTACAGAGAAGTTTTATTGTGTGCTAGATGAATGCAGAAAAGCTAGAGCAAGTTATCTTAACATAATTAAGATTTCCAATAAAATCTGATATTTTAGTTTTTATTAAAGAATTAATCTTTTTTGGTGCTTATGATTTGTTAATTTATAAAATCATCTTAAAACTGATTTACTTTGTTATGGTTCTTTCGTTTGAAGTCTATTGACATTTTGCTGAAAAATGTTCTTTTTATGTTATCTATATTTAAGCAGAGATGGTAGCTTTTTTTTCCAAAGAATGAGTTGGTACTTTTAAGGTTTTAAAAAAAGTCACATTAACTTTTAAATGACGTTTATGTAAAAATATTTGTTACAAAAGTTTGAATGACAATTATGTTTGATAATAGCGCTATTTATTAATATTTATATTTATTTATGTATTTATTATTCAACAAATTCAATTAAGAATTTGCATTGAAAAAACTGTTTAATATTCTCATTCATCTAGTTGAAAGATTAAACACCTGTAAAAAAAAAGCTTGCAATATTGATGAAAACTTTATCAAAGATATTTTGCATCTTAATTGTTTGATGGAGTAATCAGGGAAAAATTTTGTTGTGTGTTATATGAATGCAGTGGAGCTTGAGCAATTTCTCTTAACATAATATGCTTTAATCAGTTTTTGTTCATATCGTTTATCAAATCAGACAGACAAACCAAATAAATAATTTATGATTAGTGTTCTGTTTACAACAATTAAAAAGTGTTGACATCATCAATAGTGGAATGTATGATTGATTCATCAACAAATAATCTTCTAAAGTTTGAAGAAAATGAGGCATAAAAAGTAATACGTAGTATTACGTAAAAAATAAAAACGTAAAAAGCATTATGGAACCAAGGATATGTTAGTGGTACTCTCTTATTAGTTAGAAATAAAAATAAATGTTTTCCATCAAGATTTTGTTTAAGATAAGTTGTATATAACAAATTAAAGACAAATGAGTGAAAGTGTGGTGAATTTTGTAGAATCGCACTACTTTATCATTTCTATTTATATGCCAAAAACTATTGAGATTAGATACAAAATGACTCAAAGTTAAAAATTATTAAATAAATGAGTTTTAATAACTATTTCTAAAAAAAAAAAAATACTAAACATATAAGTTTTTTAAAATAAAAGTTAAAGTTGGAATAAAATTTACTAAATAACTTGAAAAATATAACAAATTTTAAAATTTAATGGAACTAAGCATAAACAAATATTTTATAGTTAAATAAAATTATATATTTTTTAATTGAATAGTTATATCTATTTTAATAATAAAATTTATTTTTTATAGTTCCTGAAGCTTCTAATCCTCCTCTAGCAACGGGTGAATCTTTTGCCATATTTGTTAAAACCATTGCTGCAAATATCAGTATAACCTCTTCATACAGTGATGTTGTGGTTACAGCTGATCCAACAACAACAGCCGAAACAACAACTACTGAAGCTTCTACCACAACAACTGAAGCCATAACCACAACAACTGAAGCTACAACAACAACAATTGAAGCTACAACAACAACTGAAGCTGTGACAACAACAACTGAAGCTACAACAACAGCTGAAACAACAACAACTGAGCCTCCAACCACTACAACTGAAGCCACGACAACAGTTGAAACAACAACAACTGAGCCTCAAACCACTACAACTGAAGCTACAACAACAACTGAAGCCACGACCACTACAACTGAAGCTATAACCACAACAACTGAAGCCACAACAACAGTTGAAACAACAACAACTGAACCTCCAACCACTACAACTGAAGCTATAACCACAACAACTGAAGCTACAACAACAACTGATGCTCCAACAACAACTACTGAAACTACAACAACAGCTGAAACAACAACAACAACTGAGCCTCCAACCACAACAGCTGAAATAACAACAACAACTGAAGTTACAACAACAGCTGAAGCAACAACTACTGAACCTCCAACTACAACTACTGAAGCTACAACAACAACTGAAACCACAACTACAACAACTGAAGCTATAACCACAACAACTGAAGCTATAACAACAACTGAAGCTCCAACAACTACTACTGAAGCTACAACAACAGCTGAAACAACAACAACAACTGAAATTACAACAACAGCTGAAGTAACAACTACTGAACCTCCAACTACAACTACTGAAGCTACAACAACAACTGAAACTCCAACCACAACAACTGAAACCACAACAACAGCTGAAACAACAACAACTCAGTCTCCAACCACTACAACTGAAGCTACAACCACAACAACTGAAGCTATAACCACAACAACTAAAGCTACAACAACAACTGAAGCTTCAACAACAACTACTGAAGCTACAACAACAGCTGAAACAACAACAACTGAGCCTCCAACCACTACAACTGAAGCCACAACAACAGTTGAAACAACAACAACTGAGCCTCCAACCACTACAACTGAAGCTACAACCACAACAACTGATGCTATAACCACAACAACTGAAGCTATAACCACAACAACTGAAGCTACAACAACAACTGAAACTTCAACAACAACTACTGAAGGTACAACAACAGCTGAAACAACAACAACAACTGAGCCTCCAACCACAACAGCTGAAACAACAACAACTGAACCTCCAACCACTACAACTGAAGCTACAACCACAACAACTGAAGCCATAACCACAACAACTGAAGCTACAACAACAACTGAAGCTTCAACAACAACTACTGAAGCTACAACAACAGCTGAAACAACAACAACAACTGAGCCTCCAACCACAACAGCTGAAACAACAACAACTACTGAAGTTACAACAACAGCTGAAGCTACAACTACTGAACCTCCAACAACAACTAGTGAAGCTACAACAACAACTGAAACTCCAACCACAACAACTGAAGCCACAACAACAACAACTGAAGCCACAACAACAGCTGAAACAACAACAACTGAGCCTCCAACCACTACAACTGAAGCTACAACCACAACAAATGAAGCTATAACCACAACAACTGAAGCTACCACAACTACTGAAGCTTCAACAACAACTACCGAAGCTACAACAACAGCTGAAACAACAACAACAACTGAGCCTCCAACCACAACAGCTGAAACAACAACAACTACTGAAGTTACAACAACAGCTGAAGCAACAACTACTGAACCTCCAACTACAACTACTGAAGCTACAACAACAACTGAAATTCCAACCACAACAACTGAAGCCACAACAACAACAACTGAAGCCACAACAACAGTTGAAACAACAACAACTGAGCCTCCAACCACTACAACTGAAGCTACAACCACAACAACTGAAGCTATAACCACAACAACTGAAGCTATAACCACAACAACTGAAGCTACAACAACAACTGAAGCTTCAACAACAACTACTGAAGCTACAACAACAGCTGAAACAACAACAACAACTGAGCCTCCAACCACAACAGCTGAAACAACAACAACTGAACCTCCAACCACTACAACTGAAGCTACAACCACAACAACTGAAGCCATAACCACAACAAATGAAGCTACAACAACAACTGAAGCTTCAACAACAACTACTGAAGCTACAACAACAGCTGAAACAACAACAACAACTGAGCCCCCAACCACAACAGCTGAAACAACAACAACTACTGAAGTTACAACAACAGCTGAAGCAACAACTACTGAACCTCCAACTACAACTACTGAAGCTACAACAACAACTGAAACTCCAACCACAACAACTGAAGCCACAACAACAACAACTGAAGCCACAACAACAGCTGAAACAACAACAACTGAGCCTCCAACCACTACAACTGAAGCCACAACAACAGTTGAAACAACAACAACTGAGCCTTCAACCACTACAACTGAAGCTACAACCACAACAACTGAAGTTATAACCACAACAACTGAAGCTACCACAACAACTGAAGCTTCAACAACAACTACTGAAGTTACAACAACAGCTGAAACAACAACAACAACTGAGCCTCCAACCACAACAGCTGAAACAACAACAACTACTGAAGTTACAACAACAGCTGAAGCAACAACTACTGAACCTCCAACTACAACTACTGAAGCAACAACAGCAACTGAAACTCCAATCACAACAACTGAAGGCACAACAACAACAACTGAAGCCACAACAACAGCTGAAACAACAACAACTGAGCCTCCAACCACTACAACTGAAGCCACAACAACAGTTGAAACAACAACAACTGAGCCTCCAACTACTACAACTGAAGCTACAACCACAACAACTGAAGCTATAACCACAACAACTGAAGCTATAACCACAACAACTGAAGCTACAACAACAACTGAAGCTTCAACAACAACTACTGAAGCTACAACAACAGCTGAAACAACAACAACAACTGAGCCTCCAACAACATCAGCTGAAACAACAACAACAGCTGAAACAACAACAACTACTGAAGTTACAACAACAGCTGAAGCAACAACTACTGAACCTCCAACTACAACTACTGAAGCTACAACAACAACTGAAAATCCAACCACAACAACTGAAGCCACAACAACAACAACTGAAGCCACAACAACAGCTGAAACAACAACAACTGAGCCTCCAACCACTACAACTGAAGCTACAACCACAACAACTGAAGCTATAACCACAACTACTGAAGCTTCAACAACAACAACTGAAGTTTCAACTACAACAGGTTCTTTTATAGTTTTTTTAAAATTTTTTTTACCAATTTTTTAAGTTTTTTAATTTAAGTTAAATTAAAACAAATATTATTATTGTTTTTTTTTATCTGATTATAATTATTTCATTATTTTTTTAAAAGGTTGTTCTTTATTTTTTTATTTATAAATCTTATGGTCAGCTAATTTGTTGTTTCTAAATCACTTTGACTGTTAAGTTTTTTATAACTTTTTGTTAAAAGCGGTGAGTTGAATAATTTTGAAATGTAAAACAAGTAAAAAAATTTAAATAAAACCCAGGCTCCAGTTGACGTGCCACTATCAATTTATCATTCTTTTCAATTGCTACTTTCTTCAAAGAAAAAAAATGTATAAAAATGACCCCTTGTTTCTACTTATCTTGCAGTATGTGGTGTGTTGAAACTGTTTTTAAATTCATATATACTTCCTTTTAAACTTTAGGTGAGTAGAAACCATTGAGCATTTGACTTGACAACTCTTTAAATCATTATCTTATTATATCATTATATTAAAAAAAGTTTCCTCAAAAACTGTTAAATTAAATTTATACTTTAAACAGCCTCAAAACAATAGTTTTTGTTAATATTTTTAAAAGTTGCTTATAATAATAATAATAATTTTAAAAATACTTACATAGTATAGAGATTGACCTACCAGTCATATTCAAAATAGATACAAGTTACATTAAAATATAATTGATAAATTATATTGAACTGACTGTGTAGCCAAATAAAAAAAAAACTTTCTTTTTAATTTGTTACTTTCTTTTTTTGATTTGTTACTAACATAAGAAAAAAATTATTTATAATTATTAAATAAATAAGTGTCTATCAACATTGTATATATGTAAGTTTTTTGATTCTACTCACCCCACTGTTTCTACTCACCATTTTGCAGTACATATTTTTTTAGTTAAGAAATCACATGTTTTTTTGTATTTTTTTTTTATAAGTCATTTGTTCTATTATACTTTTTTGTTTATAAATCTTGTGTTTGTTTTTTTTTTTTTTTTTTGTAGTTTGTTAATCACATTAGTAGATTGGTTCATAAATACCCTCCAATAAAGAGTTAAACACAAAAGTTAATAAGTTCCAGATTTTTTTTTATTGTTAAATGAAATTAAAAAGTAAAAAAAATATGAAATACATAATTACATAATTAATGTAGAATTACATAATTACTACGAATTACATAATTATTTGATGCTGAGGATGTTAAAACTATTGTACAAAAAAAATTGAATTATAAGGGAATTATTTTAATTGATAAATTGTTTTTAGCAGGTGCCTTGATTTTGGACCATTTTACCGCCTCTTCATTTAACCTTCATTTTATTTTGCACCTTTTTTAATCTTCCTTGACTGTAAACAATTTTTCCATCAATATATTTATATTTCTAACATATTAAATTTTATATATATTTAAGGCCTTTTTATTTTATTAAATTTAAACTTGGTAGTGGTATAAGTTGTAAATTACATCTGAGTTGTCGCCACCTGTGTTGTGAGTTTTGTTTAGAGTATATATATATGCATATACACACACATACACATACACGCACAGATATATATATATATATATATATATATATATATATATATATATATATATATATATATATATATATATATATATATATATATATATATATATATATATATATATATATATATATGTATATATATATATATATATATATATATATATATATATATATATATATATTTGTTTATAATATTTAGCTCCAAAACAAAATATATGAGGAGCCCATTTGACGCGCTAATTTCGAGTAAACTGATTTGAGAAAATGTATATATATATATATATATATATATATATATATATATATATATATATATATATATATATATATATATATATGTATATATATATATATATATATATATATATATATATATATATATATATATATATATATATATTTGTTTATAATATTTAGCTCCAAAACGTCCTATTATTATAACTGCTACATCGTTTGTAATCGACATTTCTATATATAAAGTAAATTATAGTGATGCCGAGTAAGTTCATTTTTTTCTTTTAATCATCAAAATTATTCTTTTTTACAAAATTGTTTAATAATGTTTTTTTATTTCTTTTAACTAATCATTTTTAATTGTATTTGTTTTTATGTTATTGTTCATTATTTAAAATTATTGCTAGTTATATCTTTTCAGTAAGTTAATAATATTACATTATTTTATTGGTTATAATTACATCTATTTAATATTTAATCTCCTACATAGTTTTAACTTTATTTAATATAAAATAATTAATAATTATGTACAAGAACTTTTTTTTCCATTTGATATGTTAGTACTGCTGTGATGGCAAATATTTAATGTTTCTTTTTACATGTTTTAAATTATTTTCAGTAATAATTAAATTTTTTCATAATAATTGAAAAATGACTTTCTCAATTATTACAAGCTTTTTTTGTTATTTTCTAATATTTTTATTTCTTTAATTATTGTATATATTTAATGAAGAGTATTAAGAAATACTTAAACTGTTGTAGGTATTATATTATTTTGGTGGCTTGCCAACTTGGTCAACCATGCCCTCCTAGAAGGCATCCAAGCTCATATACTTGGGATGAGATTAGAAATAATACGGATGGTTTATACTTAGTTGGGAAGTTGAATGCAACTGATGTGAACTTACCATTTACAGTTGGAGGTGGATCAACTCGCAAACGAAGAGATACAAGTATTTTTTATACCTGTTGTTTTCCATTATACTGTTTTTGTTCTTAAGCTTAAATTTAAACCATAAAATAACTTTAAAATATAAAGTAAATTTGTGTATTCTTCATTATCACAAAAAAATTTTAAAACTTTTGATATATAAAATTTATTTTAATTCATAACATTATTTTAACATTAGTAAAATAATTATATTAACTAGCAAAAAGTAAACTGTAATACGGGTTATGGTCAGTCTGTTTCATAATTAATTTATAGTGGCTGTTTTCTACAATTTAAAGTTGCGGATTCTTAACTAATACCCTTTTAGAATAACACCTTTAAGTTGAAAAAATTAATTTATCGTTAAAATTAACATAAAAAGTATGAGGAGATAAAATAATTTACCAATTATTATTTAACACATTATTTGAGTAATTTACAACTGACATAGGTCATATCAGTGTAAGGCAGAACGAAATTCCTAAGTTCAACACAAAATAATAACACTTCACCATTCTTTAAATTGAAAAAAATATCAACTAAATTTTTTTAATAATTTTTGCAACATGAACTTTAATTAATTATTAAGATTAATATGAAGTTAACTTATATTATACAGTAGTTATTAACTTTTGGTATCCCCTCGATAAATTTTTCTTTAGAAAAGAAAATTTTTTATCTTAAAAACATTAAATGCACACAACTAAATTTATTAAAAATAACTAAGTTTATTATAAATAACTAAGCAATTGAGTACAAATATGTTTCAAAAAAAAAAATTAATTTACAATAAAACATGTATATAACAAATTAAAAAAGTTAACTTTGATCTTTTATATTGCATCATATGACAAACCTAAAATAAAAATTGTAACAGCTAAGTAGGCATAAAAAAGGCATAAAAAAAAAAAGTAGACATAAAAAAGAAAAAGAAAAATGACTGGAAAAAATTTACCTGCTTTTGGTAACCTGTTATACTTCAGTTGCTGTCATGATGCAGCAGTTCTTGTCAGTGTTATTTAATGACGTTAAATGCTGGCTTTTAGTAAACTTTAGTTTAATTTAGAAGATGTCACAAAAGATTTAAAATATTTAAATTAAAAAGCAAAATATAAAATGCTTCAAGGAGCCAAACTATAAACATTAAAGATAAAAAAATTAAATTAAGATATAAATTAGTTGCATTTATATAGCTAAATATATTGTCTTGGCTTATAGTAAATTGAGGTTGATATGAAATGAAGTTAACTTATACAGGAACTACTAAGCAACTGAGTACAAATAGGTTTCAAACAAAAAAAAATTAATTCACAATCATACACGTGTATCACAAATTTAAAAAAAATATGAAAACTTTGATCTTTTTTCTTGCAATAATGTGTCATATGACGAACCTAAAATAAAAAATTGTAACAGATAAGTAGATATAAAAATTTGTAAAACCAAGCTGACCGGACCCAGGTCTTGTTAAATCTGCTCAACACAGACCATTTTTATAATATTTGTTTGGCCTCTTTATTTCATTAATTTTTAGTAAACGGTATTTTGCTACCATTTACTAAAAATTTCTTTTGTTACTCAAAATTTAATTTTCCTAAATATTTTGACACTAATAAAAATCCCTTCTTCTTGCTTTAATGGTGGCCTCGTGAGTAATGCTTTTTTATTAAGAGTTTTTTATGAAGATTTTTAACCAAAATAATAAAATGTAAAACAATGATTTACATATGAATCAATATATACAAAAATGTTCTAAGTTATTTTTTTTGATATTTGACTTTTTGATGAAAAATTTTTTTTTTTAAAGACAGTTCCACCATTGTATAGTAAAACATTCCAAGTCAGACCTTTCGGTACACGTTGAATAGAGAGCTGAAATTTTTTTTTTTTGAATTTATTAAAGTAATAAATAATTTTGGATTTAATACATTTTTTCTCATTTAAAAAAATCAAACTAAGATATAAATTGCACTTTTAGCAAAATGTTGTCTTGGTTTTTAGTAAATAAATAAAAGCAGTTCCAATAATGAAACTACCTATTATTCATTTTTAACAATAGACGCCAACGGGAAGGTAAGCCAAGCTGTCCATCAACAAAAAACATCACAACAGTAACACATAACAATAAAATCCAATGAAAATAACAAACTAAATTAAAATATGAAAGGCAAAATTAAAAAATTTAGAGCTAACTCTATTTATCTTTTTTTCTGGCATTAAAAGCTCCCAAGTCACACTTCTGCTATAAGTAGACCGCTTGGCTGGCAAGGTTATCAAACTTGCTCAACATAATACCAAGTCACACCACTTTGAAAACATGGAAACAACATAATTTAAACATATATACAACTATAAACAAATATGACTTAATATAGCACATATAAACACATTTTATAACAATATGTTTTATTGCAAATGACATATTTATCAAAAACTATGAAAAAAAATATTAGTAATAAATAAAGTTACACGTACAAAATGTGCTCACAACCTTTAACAGTAAATTTTCGAAATGAAAATCTAAAGACTATAAATTAGGAACATTAGAAAGTATAACACTATTTGTGTAACACTTTTCACCTACCATACCTTGAATAGGATGTTTATCAATTTTGAAAAACAAATTATTAAATGCTCTAGTTCTTCAACATGCAACATATAGTTGAATATGAGAGAAACACGGTTTTAGAGATATGTCTTTTGTCTATAAGTTTAAATTCGCGTTATGTAATATATGGACATTCCCTAAAGTAAAATACTTGAAACTAAAAAGATTTTATTTATTACAATATTTGAACAACCAAGGGACAATTATAGTTAAACAATTTAAAGAATTATATCTTTAAATAGCAAGAATCTCGTAAAATATATCTTATAAATGGTTAATATCAATTGTAGTATTAAAAAATACGCAAGAGCTCAGTAATTACATGAGTTTTATCAATTCTCCTTGTACTAACTCTCATTAAAGTCTCATCTAAGAGAGAGAGAGAGAGAGAGAGAGAGAGAGAGAGAGAGAGAGAGAGAGAGAGAGAGAGAGAGAGAGAGAGAAAGAGAGAGAGAGAGAAGAAGTGTTTTAAAAGCAGCATGTTAAAAAAAGTAAAAAAAAACATGCAGTAAATAACAGTAACTGATTTTATTATGCTAACAATAAACAAAATTAATTTTACCTTAATTAAAAGTTCATTTCCAGCATTGCTTAATTAAGATTCAGCTTCTCTCTAACTGTTGACTAATGATCAATATAGTAAATTTCACATCATATTAAATTTACAAAATTAAAACCATGTTTCAGCAGTAAGCAAAATAATCAAGTGATGACAAAGGCAATTAAAAAAAAAAAAGAAAAAATTTATGTTTGAGATAACAAAAAAAAAAAAAAAAAAAAAAAAATAGAATCATTTAAATTTGAAACTGTTATTGTTACTATAAAAAGTAAAATTCATACTATGCTTTATTCTTAAGTGTCTAATGTAAAATTAAATCAATAGACATCAAAAAGACACCAACACATAATTTTATCAAGCCTAGATCTATCTCTTTCATTTGACAACAATTTCTTGCCTATTACCATTTATACCAAAAAACCTCTTCGAGCCTAATATTATACAGCTGTTACAGGCTTGGTCGGGAAGCGGGTGCGATCGCACTCGATAATTGACCACGGAAATATTATTTAGTTGTGAAAAACCGGCCTAAAACCGACTTTTTAGTTGTTTTGAGAACATTTCAAAAACAAACAAAAAAGCGCAACAAGATTAACTGGACCAATGAGAGACAGTTAAAAAAAGAAAAATAGCTTTTATTGCGAAAAAAAGCAAAGAGCAATTATTTTTGAAACGTCGCTCTTTTATAACTTTTTTTATAAAATAAAGCGACATTTTTTATATAAAGTAACAACTATAAAGAAACAAATGTTTTTTGATTTATCAAAGAGTATATATAATTTTTATTTATATACTTATGTCTTATTTCCAGTGCTGGATTGAGGAGGTGGGGTGGGGGTAGTAGAGCTTTAGTTGCGGGACTCATAATGTTAGGGGAAATAGTCAAGAAGACCATTCGGTATTTTTTTAAGTCATTTTTACGCTGTGGCACATAAAAAAGGCCGCCAAAATAATGCAGCCTCCAGCCCTGAAAAGTCCAACAAGATTTAACCAGATGATTTATTTATAAATAAAAAAGTTTTTTCAATAACTGTTTTATGCTTCGCATAGTTAAAAAAGTTTAACAGATTTGAAACGATTCTTCTTAATAAGATGAACAAATGAAATAATTAAATAATTGAGTTACCGTAGAAATTCAATTAACCAGATAGAAATTAACAAAAAACATTAAATTACTTTGTAAGGAGGAAGTGGAACTGCTTCACAATACCGCTGATGATGTTTTGTGAGTGGACTTCATAATTTTAATTAGTATTTAAAACAGAAAAAAGTAACTTTAAGTATAACGAGTTTGTAAGAATGGCTGAAGCAAAAATAATTGAAGTTAGTAAACCAATTTCTAAGAACTTAAAAACTTTTCTTTCTTGAGAGAAAGAATCAGTTATCGGGTACACTGAGGAAAATGGATTAGTGGTTAAAATTATTTGTATTAGCTTTGACAGTTATCAATAATTTCATTGAAAACACAGTTATTATTAAAAGTATTTTTGTTTACAAAACCAATCGCACAAATTGCTTTAAAAGATTACATTTGAATAAAATACACATAGATAAAATTACATAGATAAAAATACATTACATACATAAAAATACATTACATACATAAAAAATACATCCCTTATATATAAAAAGTAATAATATACTAATAAAATCTAAAATATATTTACAAAATGTTGACAAGTTAAAAAATATAAATTTAAAACATTTATTATTGTAAACAAATGTTAGTTTAAACTATTTATAGCTTTGCAGATGTGGCTCCAAGAATTAAAATAATAGTTCGTTTAATAGTATACTCTTAAAATAATTTATGCTAGAAATCTTAACAAAAACGTAACAAAATTCAAATAATACA